CTCTTGGGCCATTTTGGGGCGATCTTCTTGGCAGTTTGGGCCGTCCTGGAGCTTCGGGGGGCCGGCGAGGTAGTTGCGTCAGAGTTGTTAACACCCATAATCCAATATTTGTGTGTATGTGTGTATATATACACATATATGTATGAATGTCTGTCTGTGTGTGTATGCATGTGTACATCTATGTCTATGTATGTAGGTATGTATACATGTACATATGTGTGTGTATATGTATGTATGTATATGTACATATACACGACCCATCTCGAAGCCATCTTGGGTTTCTTGGGCCGATCGGTCAGCGACTTGGAGCCCTGTTGGACCCTTGTCGGAGCTTCCTCATGACTTGCTGGAGCTTTTGGGAGGTTGAAGTGCCGCGCGCACGAGGAAATTCATTTTTAACCCGCGTGTCTCGGGCATCTCGCGGGGTGCTGTTCGTCCAGGGACCCCTGGGGGCCGCCCCGCGCGCGCGAATTATTCGTTTACTGCTGATTAGTTACCGGAGACCTTAGGACGCTTCTGGCCCGTTGGGCTAGCGAATTTACGAGGGATCGTGGCCTTCGGGCGTGTTCCCTGGCACGTTCTGTGGGGCGTCCCCTGGGCACGTCGCGCGGCGCGTCCCCTGGCGCGTTCCTTGGTGCGTCCCCTGCCGCTTTCCGTGCCGTGTCGCCCTGGCCCGTTCTGTGGCGCTTCCCGTGGCGCGTCCCCTTTGCGCATCGGCCGGCGCGTCCATTGGCACTTCCCCTGGCGCGTTCCGTGGCGTTTTCCGTCATTGTGCCGCGCGGTGCAGCGCAGAGCTGCGCAGCGCAGCCGTTGGTAGAACACTATGATTCTCTTTCTATTTCTTCTCAGTCTTATGGAGATCGTTATTTGTATTTTTCGTTGGTTTGCTATCCGTGTTTGTATGGCCATTATCATTCTTATGGTTCTTGAGTATTGCTCTTATTGTTATTGATGTTGTTGTGCGTATTTTCTTTATGGTTTTTACTTGTACTTTACGCATCGTTTATAAGCATGTTTTCAATATTTTTTGTTTAACTTTGTTTCAATTCTAGAGCTGTTCTTATCAAGACAAGATCACCATGGTTATATATATGTATATGTATATATTATTCTGATTACTTTCCTTAAGAAAAATATATAATGGTATGCATATTCGTTCTTTGGCATTATATATATACACTCATCAGTCGTGCTTAAAACACTATGAGTCGTCGTATTCTTAGCATGGTTGAGGTGTGCAGATGGCTTGGCGTGCATGGGAACGTTCCTGGTCCGTGTGCGGGTTTGTTCTTCGATCACGTTTACAATGGGTCATGGCGGCAGGGAAGTGGTGGGTGGATGAATTCGGCGAAGTGCGGGTAGGGGGACCTCTTAGCAGATGGCGGGAAGCCTGCCAGACAGCACCTGGCGTTCCGCTGAGCCTCAACGTGCAAGGGGGCCCAGTGGCGGATATAGAATGTGGGCGCTCGCGACGCGTGGGTGCTGGCTGTATTTGGCGCAGTAATGACTTCTCCAGCGATTGCAAGCGCAGACAAGCAGTCGAGCATGCTCGTGTTCTCTGAGTCGTTTTTTCCCGGAATGGGCGGGGGCCCAGGGTTGTCGTTTAGTGGGTGAACCTGTGCCCGGGGCCAATGTGAGGGGATCCAGCGGATTCCCGTTCGATAAAAATCGGGGTGAGGTCCCATTCGGCGTGGAAAATGAGCGCTGCGCGCGCCCGCTTGAGGACAGCGCGCCCCCATTATCGGATTCTCGATAAGTATCGGGGTCCGCTGACCCCGTTTTCCGTTGTAAAGGAAGGCGCGACGCGTGTCTCGAATAATCATCGATAAATATGGGGGTCTGGAAACCGGGCCGGAGGCCCCAGCAGAGGCAACGGGAGGTGAAGGAGGAGGAGGGGGGGGAAGAGGAGGAGGAGGAGGGGAGTACGAGGAAGGGGGGGGGATGATTGGAGGGTGAAAGTGGAGGTCTGGCGCAGGTTCCTGGCAATGGTGACTTTATGGGCCATGCATGGGCGATTCGTCCTCGATTGCTGTGTTCGGCGGGGGGGCCAATTGAAGCTCCCCGCCTGCGCCCGCGCTCGCGACGCGAGGGTGAACGAAGCAAGAAGGCGGGGGGCTCGGGAAAGGCGACGACGGCAATGTGAGCTGAGGGCGCAAAAAGAGAAGGTTGGAATCAACGAAAGCGGTGAGGTGAGTGCCACAATCTGCCCAGCCAATCTGACACGCGGAACACTGCGCCTGTGTTTTGGGGATCTTGAAGGCCTGGGCACAACGTGAATTCACATTGCGGGGACAAGCGCAAAATGTGATTTTACATATTGGGCAAAAGGCACATGTGATTGTTGTAAGAATCTTCATGGGGGGGCCAGAATGTGAATTTACATTGTGGGAAAAAGGAATATGTGAATCCACATTTCGGAAAAAAGGAAAATGTGAATTCACATGTTGGGGGAATCGCGGGGCCCATTCCAAAATTGTCTGGGGGGTCGACACGTCGTCGT